TTTTGATAACTCCAAGTTTGTGTGATGACATTCGAATGCAGGTTTTCCGCTTTTCGCGCTATCGATCTGCGTGCTTTTATTACGGGCACTACCTTTCAAAGACTATTTGTCAGGGGAGAATTAAAAGGCTAATCAAAGTTATATCTCCGAAACTTAAAGACGTTAATAAATCTTATTGTTTACAACGGGAGATTTATCGTTGGCGAGTAGACGTAAAATTCGAATTGAAAACACCATTTTACATGCATCACAAATCACAAACAACATAAAAATTAGATTGGGTCATTTACAACCCCTGTTATTAATCACGGTTTGGGTTGCGCTTTATCGTATTTACGGCCTCTGATTTTGATTGTACGGTTGAAAATTTGCCCTTCGGTCTGGGGGCAAACGTTTTTTGACAAAGATCGACCTTTAACTGGGGCTAGAGTAAGCCGGAACATCGGTTGAAAGGATTTTCTCTCACGTACGAAATCGTTTACGAAATTTGATTTTTTCTGGATTTTCACCCTCCAGACAATGTTTTCGATTTATCAAGTAAATGGAAGCTAATTTTCCACATCGTTAAACGTGTCAGAACCATTTAAGGCGGCAATTTTCGGTAATTGCTCCTAGATGCAGTGTTTCGGAAAAAACAACCAACAATCAGTACCTACCTCAACGGACTTTAACAACTGCTTCGATAAATTCAATCGGGGAAGAGGGGGAAGAAAGGACGGATCTTCATATCACCTTTATTCTAACATGGTCAGTACAATATGCTTAATCTAACATAATGCTATGCAGTAATTTGTCAGTTGTGATAATCAGACTGTTATAAAATTATGTTTAGGCACAGTCGTACAATGGCCTTACTAAATAGCGTCCTATCTAACATAGCATCACAAACATGGTGACAAGAAACACTCAAAGATAAAGGAGGGTGACAGCACCTCGTACAGCAAAGTCTTAGTGAAATAGGCCCTAAAACAAATACATCCCAAGTCTAAGTTTAGCTAAACACGAAATAACGACCTGCGTTTAATTGACCCTCCTTTCCCTCTAGTCCGTTTTATTATAATGTATTATTATCGAGTCACATTAAATAATAAAAATTAAAGTGACATATTTACAAATGACCTTACATCTATACGCTTATCAAATCACTCGTTAGCCGGTATTAACTTTTTAATGAACGATATTTACACTAAGTTTAGTTTGTTATCAAAGAGAACTTGGGATATCTCAAGCGAACGAAACACAACACAAAATAAAAGTCTGTGATTAGTATTGTGTTAACACAGATTCCTTATAAGTACGATATTATGACTGTTATCGGCACTTGACATTTAACTACGGAAGCTCTAACGTTTTGAAATATCTCATATTTCATTATTGGTCTTTCTGACTTTCGGTGCACCCAAATACATACTTTCGGAAATTACTTCTAATATCACAATGCGTCGCTTTGTTCATTATAGTAACGTTTGACTATTTATTTGTATTTAAAGACAAGTCATAACAAAAATAATACAAAATTTTGAACGAACGAAACCTCAACACTTTGATTATGTAGCCTTTTCTGCGTCCGTCTATCCGCTTTCATCTTCGTCGGCGAACCTTCCGTTATAATAAGGAAGGTATCGCACCACGGGTCTCCAGTCTGTCAGATAAACCACCAGCACCAACGAGGCCAAACTGTAACATATGGCACTAGGAACAAACCCCATCAAAATTTTTATCTGATTTGGGCCTATAACGCGCAGGAAATGGGGAAACTCGAGCACGGGCGTCTGGTTGAAGCTGCTGCCATCGCCTATTTTTGGGGGTTTGGTTGCTGTTGGTTTTTTGCCTTGTTTTCTCGTTTCGCGCTCTTTTGCTTCTTCGCAGATGGATTTCGAGGATTTAGGTTTTTCTTTCATTTTGACAGTCAGTAAATTGTTGATGGATCGTGACACTCTTTGATCTTTTCAATTTCGATGCTCAGGCGACTTCAAAATTTTCACAAAATTCGATAAAATGTTCTCGTCAAATTTTCATTTCTACTAACGACTGACATTTTTGAACCCACCATGGGGATAATTAATACGTGCAGTTGGTGACAGTGCAAAATAAAAATTTGTTCAAAGTCCAGGCCATTTCTATCCGTCCATTTGATAAAAAGTAAGGGTGGTCACACTGCCTTGTTTGGGTTTTTGTTCAGTACGGTTGATAGTGACGAGATTTGACGTTTTATTGATTATTATAACTATTTATGGATTTAATTTGTTTTACCAATAAAATACACATTTTTTTTCGAACCTATAGTCCAACCACCATCGTATTAGGTAAATCTGAAGTTTGACATATGAGGAAAACAAAGATTGGTTATGTTATAACTAATTCATCTGCAGATTTTGGAAGGGTTTTGACGTTTCAAAACGTTTTAAGGACAGTATAATATGAAAATCACCACTGGAGTTTTTTTTTTTTTGTTAGCAACTGAAATCAACAAGAAGTGGTTCTTTAATTTTGGACTGTGAGTGGCTGCGGGCTGCATAAATGCGGAAAGTCCGAAATAAGACTGATATTGCAAAATAACATACAGTTGGCTCCAGAAAAAACGAGAACTGTCAAAGTTAGCATGGCAGATTATTATTGTATGAATTTTCCTAGTTTAAACGGGACTACTTTGAAATAGGTTACAACAGTAATGATATTATTTTCTGTCAAAATAGTGACAAATATTTAACAGATCTGTCAATTGACAAGTAAGAGACAGGTACATTTTACATTGTACAAAAATTCCATTCCCGTTTTTTCTTGAGCCAACTGTACCCTCTAAGAAAATAAAGAGCGGATGGGCGGGGCTACTTACTAAGATAAGATTGATTTTGCCACATAACATACCGTCTAAGAAAATAAAGAGCGGCTGGGCGGGGTTAGTACTTCCCAAGACAAGACTGATTTTGCCAAATGGTATACCTTCTAAGAAAATAAAGGGTGGGTGGGCGGGGCCAGGACTTGCCAAGATAAGACTGATTTTGGCAAATGGCATACCTTCGAAGAAAATGATGGATGAGTGGGCGGGGCTAGTACTCGCTAAGATAAGACTGATTTATCCAATTGACATACCCTCTACCCTTTACTTTCTTAGAAGCTATGTCATTTGGCAAAATCAGTCTTATCTTAGTAAGAACCAGCCTCTCCACTCGTCCTTCATTTTCTTAGGTCATTTGCCCAAATCAGTCTTATCTTGGTAAATACTAGCCCCGCCCACCCGCCCTTTAGTATCTTAGAGAGTAGGGCATTTGCCAAAATCAGTCTTATTTTGACAATTACTACTTTGTGTAGTTCCATTCAATTTTGAGTCAGTAAAATGCCCCCGAATTAATTTTAATTAATTAATTAATTGTCATTACGTTCAAGTTCTTTGACATTTAAAAGAATTTGACCCATTTTTCTTACGAAATCCGAGAAAACACCTCACAACCCGCAATTTTCGGAAATTTACAATGTGGGGTGCAAAGATGGAGTAATACTGAGTGTTTGTGATGTTTTTGTGCGGTTGGTATCATCTGGTTATTCAAAAATTAAAAACCACCACCTGTTGAATCAAGTTGGTACTAAGTCTTATTTTTACACTGGCGAGTCGGCAGTGCAAAAAACTTAAAATCTGAAATTTCATGTCAAAAATGTCAAAATAAAATATGTAAACAAAGCAACATGTTTTGAATGAAAGCCATGATCCTAACCTCATATTTTTTTGATAGCACATCTTGGCACCAAAAATATATCTGGACAATGTTGTCGGTTGAGTTTCGTACCGTGTTGCCGGTTGAGTGGTTTTTTAATTTTTGAATAGATAATAAATAGTACCTGAAACTAAATTTTTGGCAATTTTGTACTTTAGCTGTCCACGAAAATTCATTAGAAAGATTTTTCAAAACTTGATGATCCACTGAGCATTTAGCAGAAATAATTTAATTTTAATTTTTCGCAAAAGGCCCAGACGGTTAAAGTAAAATTTTACCAATAGTTTTCTAACCTCACTAATTCTTACCTAAATCGTTTATATTTAGGGGAATCTGGTATCACCAACCCGAAGAAATGTAATCAATTACTAAAAAATTGACAACGAAAATGGTTCACTCAGCATTGAACAACTACGTAGGGGAGGTTGGATATGTTGGTTACTAGGTGTGAAAATTCGGTGTCACTATGTACAGTAACCCGGAAATTATGACTTAAACAAAATATAATAATTGCCCTCAAATTTTCTACTTTGACTGTAGAAGTTGTTCCTTCATATTTTTTGCAATCTTACAAGAATATTATTAAATATCATTTAGAAATTTGTACTCAAACGGCAACAATAAAAGAAAAAGAAAAATTTTAAAACAAAAATTAAAAAAAGAAAATTATCCACACCTTCAAGAGTAATTCTATGCTTAGTCAGAGTCTGTACAATTTAAGAAAAAATATTCTTTGTAATACAGAAGCTAACTTTAAAGACGAATGGCTTATTCGTGAAAGTTTAGTTTTCCAGTGAAATTTAATGTTAAAAAATTATGTTGGCAACATTGGCACGTTTCGTGTTTGGTTTGACAGCTATGATCAAATACCTACAAATAAACTACCAAATAGTTCCAATGCCGACATCATTATTTTTAAAATAAATTTCATGGTCTACTAGACGACTTTTTTTTTCGAATATATGGTACAATTGGGAGCATGGAATAGTTTATGTTTCTATTTATTTCGGTTGGCCATATTCATTTTTTTTAAGTGTAAAACGGATATTTTATGTCAAAATGACACAACAGTAGTGTTTATATAATCCACGTACGCCTATGATTTTTTATAAAATTAAACTAGGAAAATTAACGTATTAATTACTCCGTGCTCCTAAAAATATAGTGTACACATTCAAAAATGCAACTTTTCTTAGCAAGTATTAGCCCCGCCCACCCGCCCTTTATTTTCTTAGAAAATAAGTTATTTGCTAAAATCAATCTTGTCTTAGCAAGTATTAGCCCCGCCCACCCACCCTCCATTTTCTTAGAAGGTAAATCATTTGCCAAAGTCAATCTTGTCTTAGCAAGTATTCGACCGAAAAAACTCGTCTAGTAAGCCGTGCAATTTATTTTAAAAATAATTATGTTGGTACTGCAGTTACTCGACCTTTTATTTGACAGTCAAACCGATGTTGTATAGAAAAATAAATCGCACGGTCTACTATTGACTTTTGTTTGTCATTTATTTGTCAAGTAGGCAATTATCAGGTTGACGCCTGTCCAACCTCATATAAATTAACCTATTTGTTTGTAAAACTGATATTTCAAAAGCAATCGTTCAATTTTCTAACCTAAAATCTAAAAAGCCGTTTTAAAATTGTGGAAAAATTACTAAAAATGACAGATTTTCTTTTAAAATTTCCCATTTTTATTGAACACAACCGTATCTATCCTGTTCTAGTTTTTGTTTTTTTCTCTGCACAGGTAATCGTGATAAAAATGAAGTTAGTCGTTAATTCTCAATTAGAAAAATATGAACAATATATAAAGTGGGTACAGTATCGGACGGTGAAACGTCAAATGTGACGACAAATTAGTCACTTTCTTACTAAACCACGTTTACACCCACGAAATTTGGAAAATTTACACCAGGAGGTGTGGTCAGATATTTTGTTTATTATGAACTGTACTGTGGATATAATTCCCATATAAAACATTTAAACTCTATTGGCATAGAATACGTGTGAATATTTTTTTTCTAAAGGTACTTCACAGACGGAATATTTTTTGAAAAAAGTAATAGTAATACTTTTGTAGTTACAAGAACAGTACAGTTTTCAAGAATACAAAATGTATTTATTTTAAGATTACACCAATGTGTTCAATTCTCAGTGCTAATTATTACAATTGGGTGAGTGTAATTGGGGTTTAGTAACAAAAGGAATAACCTTCAAATTTATGGAATGTCACTTTGACGTTGTTGTTCCATATGGCACTTAATGATCCTACAAACTGTAATTCTTGATGAGAACATCTTATTCCACTTTATTCTATGTAACAAAACTTTGTGTACTGCCGCCTGAGCATCGAAAATTGAATCTACTGTCCACCTAGCGTCCCATTTCCGAAAGCAACACATTCATTCACAATGTTAAAGTGGGCTTCAAATCTGGTGAATTCAGATAAGTAAAACACGAACGCGGATCCAAATCTAAAGCCCATTTATCATTAATTCAGGTACAAAACGTACACTGTGTACAATTAAATAAATACTTGTTCATCCTCGGAATTGGAAAAGTAATTATCGCTTCTATCTATCGTTTTTTTGACTGGTGTTACAGGATACCTCACAGGCCCCCTCCACTTCCTGCTCAGGCCTAGACTTCGAGGTAGTGCTATAGGCGGTATAGTAGATTTCTGCTGTGAATTATCCTCCTGACTTGAACAGTTCAGAATTTTCCGATCGAGTGACCTAAAATTCGCATCGATTTCCCTCTTTGGTATCATATCAACCACAACAGCCTTGTCAAACGCCTCGTTCGAATAAATTTGATTGCACGATTTTGAAATATTTTTGTTCAACGTCGAACCACTAGAATTACATAGAGGCAAGGTCTTTTTAGACATCAAGTTTTCGGTTTCAGATTCAATTTCGTAGCGGATATGTTTATGATATGGTACTTCCGTTGATGTGTTAGTGTTAGCTCCGTATTTATGAAAATTAGAAATATCGAGACAACTTTCAGTCACGTGCTTCTCCACAGGACTGCCAACCTTGTCGCTGTATAAAACCCTTTGTACACTAGACGAACTCGTATTATTATTAGGATATGATAAGCGTTTTAGTTTGTTCATCGTATTTTCTAACCTTAACGTTTTTAAATGTGACTCATTTATGTTTGATAAATTCATTTTACTTTTTAATTGCTCTGTATCACCAAGCTTCAGAGTTGATTGTGTGTGGGAGTTGCGTTTAGATGGCGCCACCCTCGACAACACAAAATCGACTTTCTGCCCTGTATTCGTTAGTAAGTTTAAAGCGTTTTTGTATTTCATTCCGAGGAGACTGCGACCATCGACGGCCACTACTTGGTCGCCGCTTAAAATATTTCCTGTTAAGTGTGCCGGTCCTCCCAGAATTACCGACTGGATGTAGACGTTACCGTCAGAGCCCTCTGTGATCTGAATGCCCAAACTACCTTTACCGTCTCGCTTTACCGCAACATTCGACAGAATACGTTCTTCAGCGAAGGAAATATTGTTGAACTTTTCCAATAGAGTGTCGCTGATGCTCTCTTGGAAGTCCGGTAGAAACTGATTTCCGCAAGATTTTACCGAGGAATCTGCAAACAATCCATTAAAACAGGTTACCCAGTTTCGAATGAAAATACCTATAATGTAGGCCTCATTTGAAGGAACCCTTTCATTGGTAGGCGACCGAGAAATCGAAGTCGAGCTACAGTGCAAAGACACCGACTGCAGCGACATCTCTTCGAGGTATTCGTGACTCGCCGCATTGACCGCTTCCATCGATCGCGAGACGCGTCCGAGATTACTGAACACTCGAGTCCCCATTTTCACACCTCTTCGCTTATCGCTCGTGATGTTATTACCCAAACCCGACAAATAGCAACTATCTAGAACCAATCCGGAACTCTTTCTCTCCGCAGGGTGTTCGTTTTCTTTATTTTGGTAGTCTTCGTTGATTTCGTCGTAGTTGATTGCCGCGAAATCGTTAACACTCTTCGCTTTTCTACATTTGGTTTCGTTCGTCGTTTTGTTGCTGCATTTGGAAGATGCGCGAAAATCGATCTTAAATTCAGTTTCCGCGTTTACGGTGGCTTGGTCTAGAGCCACGTAGCGGGGGTTCGTCAGAGCTTCCAATTTACATAAGGAATTTGTTTCGTTTTTCATGTCTTTCAAAGGAATGCCGAACTGCTGGGACAGGGTCTGGAGAGAAGTGTACTCGGTGCGGAGGCGCAAGAAGAACTGATGGTGCAACGAAGCTAAACGAAACGTAAAGTAACTCCTGAAACGAAGGTACAGTGATGAGTCAAGACTAGTTTTTCAGCTTACTTCTTATGGTCCATTTTTAACTTGTACTTTTTTAGTTTTGACGAGTGCAGGGTTTTGGAATGTGGAAGTATACATAAGTACTGTTTGCTGTAGCACAAAGTTTGAATGCTTCTCCATTCAAACATTTCGTATAGTTGTGGTCCACAGTTGCTTGATGATCTGTCTCGTTCGTAAAGGTTGATCCCTTGGGCGCTAATGTACAGCCAAACGTCTTTATGATTATTGTCTTTTAGCATCTATGGAAAAATTAACAATAGTTTAAATTTTATTAAAGAATGAAAATATTACCCAAGTTGCTGTGTAAAAATGTCCTCCATAGTGTGGGAGGCTCTGTGCAAGAATAATAAAGTCTTGTTCGGCCTTCTCCCCACTTAGTCCACTTTTAGAAATATGAGATCGGATAAGTCCTTGTCTCAAACTGTACTGGTCATCCACTGCACAAGACATTGTTTCAGGAACATAATGTTCCAGAAGAAAATAATCTCTAGATCCATGTTCCTAAAACATAAAATGTTTACTATCCTGCAACAAATGTTCTCTCGCACAATTATTCTCGGACCCTCCTCTCACAGCGAAGTGTTACCGAGCTATTCGGGTACGAATGTTACACAATATTTTATATAATCATCCGAAAACATTAATATTTATGTTTTTGTTTATTGATATTGAGATGCGAGGTAAATGAAGTTTGAAATTTTTTATCTTCAAAGTTTTCACGAACGATCGATAAAGTCGACATTTTGATAGTAGCAAGACTAAATTGTGGCCATTAATCTTGTGAAGTTTATTACCTCAAATAAAATACACTGGAGACGTCACATACCTATTCTTAAATTAAACCCACACCAAAGCAAAAAAAATGTCGTAGAAGTTTTCTCTTGATTATTATTATTTCTAAATATAGATATAAATAAAACGGATTATTACAGACTACGCCAAAATTACAGACGATTTTAGGTCGGGTTTCCTATGATAACTTCCAGTGAGACGAATTTTATTAAATTCCAACAGTCCTCTTAGAAATACTGGAAATGCCAAAATACAACATTCTTGCTACGTTTTATTATTTACCCAAAAAATAAATAATACATTGGAGTTGACACTGTTGCTATACAGAAGTTCAACTCTAAAAAAAATAAACTGAAGGACGAAGTCGTTTTGAAATTATTGGAACCAAAAGTTTCTATAACTAAATCAAACATTTTTTAGGATGGTCGATTAATACAATAAAATACAGAGTATTTATAAATAATTGTTACAACGCGACGGCGACGTCGTGATCGGTAATTCCACACATTGCGTCACATAAAAGGTTTTTATTTTCATGTCTAACAACAAATAAATTAGCAAAATTATATAAGCGAGATATACAATATTTCAAATTTCCTAAATTATTATTTAAATTTAATCGATTCTCCTTTGGAAATTTTCAAACAGTAATTTGCCGTATTCAAAATGTAATTTTAAACATTGATGCGCACTGAGAAATTATCAGTAAGAAAATCCCATCGTGAATTCCAAGAAGGAAAGAAACTCGGACGTTCCTCTCACAGCGAAGTGTCTACCGAGCGACATACTGTGATTTCGACCATATTTAACACGTCTTTTTATTTATGTGATGGGGAATTCAATTCACGATGTAATCTTGATTAATATTGATTTATTGAGACCATCATAAATGTTATGGCCGGGCCGTAGGGAGCGCAGCGCACGATCTTAGTTGGCCGTGACTATCGTTACATGTTAATTTGTGATGGATATTTACTGTCATGGTAAGCGGCTAATACGGGCTATTTTGTTACTTTATTTCTCGAAATTTTCGAAAAATTAGACGTTTTTATTTTCTTGCATAACAACGAAGAAATTAGCAATATTATACAAGCGATATATACAATATTTTATAATATTTTAAACTGTGATATGTCTAAAGGGATGGATGATTTTTCCCAAGTTATTATTTAAATTTAGTAGATTCGCCTTTGGGAATTTTAAAATAGTAATTTGCTATATTTAAGATTCAATTTTAAACATTGATGCGCTTTGAAAAATTATGAGTAAGAAAATGTCATCGTGAAGTCGAAAAAGGAAAGGATTTCATGCTGATTTTGTGTTACCATTTATTTATGTGTTCCCCGACCGGAATTTTTGAATAATTATTCTCGGACCCTCCTCTCACAGCGAGGTGTGTACCGATTGATTAATTAATTTTGATTTATTGAATTTAACAACACAGAGATCCTCATAGGAACCGTGTAAATTAAGTTTTTGGGCTCAACGTTTCGCACACTTTCGTAAGTGGCATATTCAGGAGCAGGGTTAAGAATAAGGCAAAAGAACACGGCAACTCAGTAGGTCAACCATACTGCTCCTGAAGATGCCACTTACGAAAGTGTGTGAAACGTTGAGCCCAAAAACTCAATTTACACGGTTCCAACCCGGAAAACGATCATGTGTGGATTCCGACCGTGAAAGCCTCCGAAATTATTACCAAAACTAGAAAAAATTTAACCAAGAAAAAATCATCGCTAGCTCCGTGTGTAAGAAAAAGATCACGGGGATTTTAATTAACAATTCGTTCATCAACGCATTACAACGCGACGGCGACGTCACGATCGGAAATTCCACACATTGCGTCATAAAAGGGATAAAAAATGTTACTTTATTTCTCGAAATCTTTAGAAATTAGACGTTTTTATTTTCTACTGTAACAACGAAGAAATTAGCAAAATTATACATGCGAGATATATATTTTGAATTTTCTAAATTGTTATTTAAATTTAATAGATTCTCTTTTGGAAATTTTCAAACAGTAATTTTCCATATTCAAGATATAATTTTAAACAGTGATGCGTTTGAGAAATTATCAGTAACAAAATGCAATCGTTAATTCGGACCTTCCTCTCACAGCGAAGTGTGTACCAAGCGACATATTATGAGTTAGACCATATTTAACCCGTTTTTTATTTATGTGATGGGGAATTCGATTCACGATGTAATCTTGATTAATTTTGATTTATTGAATTTAACATCATGGTGATTCTCGTAGGAAGCCCTAACTAATAGGGGCGAAACGTTGGTAGAATAAAATTACACAAAGCCGAAAACTGCTTGAGTCCGCAATCCGAATAAAGCAACAAAATTAGTTTTGTGTAAATTGTGCAAAAAAGTGACCATTCGTCCGATGGATTCGATTACAATACTTCCTTCGCTTACGCTCGGAAAGTAAAAAAAAACAAACAAAAAAAAACAGCCAACCTTCCGACATTCTATATGCAACACAACAAACACATATGCAACCTCCGGGTTGAATATGTGTGCTACCCATGCGAAGCTATGTTATGTCATCAGTGACTTAAGCACCAAGTACATAATTCGACATAAATGTTACGACCGGGCCGTAAGAAGTGCAGCGGACGTCAGATCTTAGTTGGCCATGACTATCGTTACATGTCAGTTTGTGATGGACATCCACCGTCATAGTAAGCGACAAATTTGGGATGTTTTGTTACTTTTTTTCTTGAAATCTCTAAAAACTAGACGTTTTATTTTACAATACTTTAAATTATATGTCTAAATGGATGGTTTTTCCTAAGTTATTATTTAAATTAATAAGATTCTCATTTGGGAATTTTTAAATAGTAATTTGCTATATACAAGATTTAATTTTAAACATTGCCGCGCTTTGAAAAATTATAAATACCATTGCGAATTCAAAGAAGGAAAGGGTTGATTTTGTGTTACCATTTATGTGGTCTACGACTTGAATTTTTAACAATTATTCTCAGACCTTCCTCTCACAGCGAAGTGTGTATCAAATTTAACATCATGGAGATTCTCATAGGAAACCCAAACCAATAGGGGCGAAACGTTGGCAAAATAAAAATTATTCAGACCGAAAATTGCTTGAGTCCGCAGCCCCCATACATAAAACAAAATTAGTTTTGTGTAAATTGTGCAAAAAACAGCCAAACTTCCATGTCATTTGCCAAAATCAGTCTTAGCAGGTACTAGCCCCACTCACCCGCCCTCTCTTTTCTTAGAGGGTATGTCATTTGCCAAAATCGGTCTTATTTTAGCAGGTACTAAACCCACCCACCCGCCCTCTCTTTTCTTAGAGAGTATCTCATTTGCCAAAATCAGTTTTATCTTAGCAGGTACTAGCCCCGCCCACCCACCCTCTCTTTTTTCGAGGGTATGTCATCTGCCAAAATCAGTTTTATCTTAGCAAGTACTGATGACTAACTTTAAAAAAAAATGATCAAAATTTGGAAACATCACGAGTGTTTAGTTGGTTATGATTTAATGGATTTTTCTTTTGCTTTATTTATTAATGAAAAATAAGACCTTGTTAAAAAAAAATAAAAGATGAATTTCAGTCACCATCGTTATTAAGAAATCAGAAAGTAAGCTGGAGGGCATTTACGCATTAGGTGCGTGCAGTGTTGTAAATTTTTCTTTTATAAAATTACGTTTTTTTCGTAGTTAATCTACTTCATAAAGGTTTTTTTTTTTAGTTTTTTTGGGACCCCCGAAACCCCCGTACATAAGGCACTGAAGAGTTAATCCACCATTTTCCAGACACCCGGTATACAAGATTTAATTTTAAACATTAATGCGCTTTGAAAAATCATCAGCAAGAAAATGCCATCGTGAATTCAAAGAAGGAAAGGGATTTCATGCTGATTTTGTGTTAGTATTTATGTGTTCTACGACTGGAATTTTTGAACAATTATTCTCGGAAGTTCCTCTCACAGAGAAGTTTTACCGACCGCAAAATTTTTAAAGTTATGTTTAGCTTATTTTTACGTCCCGAAAGAGAGCAGTATTGTAATAGTCCATTTGACGAATGGCTAATTTCACATCTCCTCGACGTTTCGTAGCTCCTAGAATGTGAAAAAGAAGGTCCCCGATTCCGTCTAGCAGACGATGACTACTACACTACAATAATATGGATTTTGCCACACTAAACGAAACAAAACCGCTGTTTTTAGAACTAGTATCACATAAAATTTTCATTTCAGTTTCTTGATTCTTTTGTCGACCGTACAGAATACAACTTATTACATATATAAAAAATATTTATACCAACCCTTTCACTGTAGTCTCCAAACTCGGCTTGCAGAGCGAGTCCATCCAGCTCGATTAGTTGCGAGAACGAGCACGGTAATTGGTGTTCTAAAATCGACCTTCTTAGCTGAAGGTAGAGCAAATGGCGGGCCTGCGGTCCTCTAATGCCCCGAAGACTCGGCAAAAAGAAGCGCACCCTCATGAACAGTGTGAGGGCGGCATTTTGGGAACTGTTAGATTGCACAGCCTTGCAGATTCTGGTGTCCGACGGTAAAAACACAAAATCGCCGGCTATCAGCGCCGAGAGGCCTAGCATGAAGTTTTCCTCGATGTGCTCTTTTTGAATGATGGCCTGTAATTACGGGAATAACGTTAGATGTGCCATTCTGAGGTGGCATGCTTTGTGAATTGTAATGCAGTTAAGGAAAAAAGTACCCCGACGGGTCAGGTTCTTGTTGGTCATTATCATTACACTGTGGGTAAAATTCCTTCGAGTGCTCTCCGACTACACATATAGTCAAGACGTGCTGTCATCAACAGAGCATTGCGCAACATAGTTTTAACTGGGGTTTGATCGATTGGCGGCGGAGGACATGTGGTAAGAGTAAGATTAAAGTAACGGAAAATCTGAAAAAACAGTCTTGTTTTGCAACGATTTTGCAATTAAATATGAAATTTTTATTACTTTTGGTGACGTAATAATTTTTCTGAATATTTCCGATGAATATAATAAGGTAATGGATAATGCTTACCGTGTTTGTTTGGGATTATCAGTGAAAGTTTAATAGGATTAGCGCTCACGGGGTTAAAAGTTTGGAACGATGGATAAATACTGCATGTAATACTAACGAGTAATTATATATTTTAGAACACGGATGATTTTATTATCCGACTTAATTGCAGTCGGGTTGACAGATAATTGACGTTTGATTTGAAATAATTGTTTTCAGAACTAGTGCGTGAGTTTTGCTGTTTACGACAATTTTCTAACCTAACATTGTTTTCTTGTTAATTATCATTTTCAATAACCGTCAGTTTTGACTCTCTCTACACGCCGTAAACAATTGAAATAATATTTTTTTTTATTGTACACCTGTTATATGTGTGTACTATATATCAAGTACGGAGAGAGTAATAAAAAACACGATCAAAGAAAACTATTGATTTTTGAACATTGTCATCTTGTCAGAATAACGTCAAAGTTTTGAACTGAGAATATAATTCATGGATCACATGACCCCATTTCTTCCAATAGAATTTGTCCATGCCCTTAGTTACATGTCTATCACAGCGATAATAATTTTATTGCCTTATTGTGGTCTGATGCTACCTAAATTTAAAAACTGTCAAATTTGACAAATTTTAGAATGTCATAAATTTTTTTTGTCTTTTATGGCTTGCCAACGTTGGGGGCAAGCTCAAAACGACGAAATCAATTCTATTATCAAAAAATGTGTTCATTTATTATATTCTCATGTTGAATATAACTCGTGATATGATTAATAATCGAAGATATGGCTCGTGAAACCGAAGCAGCACATTCAACTCGTGCTTCGCACTCGTTGAATCTGCAGCTCGGTTTCACTCGAAATATTATCGATAATAATCATATCACTTGTTATATTATAATTGAAAATGCAACGATCAGACCACCTTTCAAAAATCTATGGTTGTCCTGCTTTTTTTGTTCTCTCTGTATATGCGACAAAGCCATTTATTTTGTTGAATTTTCGAAGAAATAAAGCTGAAAAATATTGAAAAATTTACATTTTTGAAAAAGTGCTTGATAATTCTCACAAAATTCTGGAAAATACATTTCGACCAGTTGATGCGATAAACATAACGCGCTGTCCGTCAGGACTAAGAGTTTCGAAAATTCAGTTTAAAAATGAAATTGAAAAATTGAGATTTTTGTAAAATTCCCTGAAAATGTCTCAAAAATTGTCAGTCAAATTTCGAAAAAATTTTTGCAAGTCGAAATTTACAAGAAAATGTCTTCAGTTAATGTTCGAAAGGTTGTCGAAAAACGGTCAAAAATTCTGGAAAACACATTCACTAGTCGATTCGAAATAAAAAAGTGTTGATGGTCCCGGAATAAGATTTCAAAAAAATTAGTTCGAAAATTATAATTTTTTTAATATCTCAAAAGCTTGAAAAACGGTAAAAACATTCATAAACATCTTCAAAAATTTCTGGGACATACATTTCCACGAGCTGACTCGAAAAACATTACGTGTTGATGGTTCTGGATACAATTTCCGAAAAATTCGGTTCGAAAATGAAATTTTTTAAATACCTCATTAATTGGTATTGTTCATTTTATCTGGAAAAGTCGTTGTTTTTCTCGAAGAAGTGAAGCCGAACATAATTCCTATAAGTCGAAAATTGATTTCTAGAAATATCTCAAAAAAGTCAAAAAAGTTGTCAAAAAAAAAATTTTGGGAAAAACGTGTCGACGAGCTGATCTGAAAAACATTAGGTGTTGATGATTCTGGACCATAATTTCCGAAAAATTCGGTTCGGAAATGAATTTTTTGAATACTGGAACAAGATTTAAAAAAAAATTTGTTTTAAATATCTCTAAAATTGTCGTTTTTATTTCATCTGGAAAGTCGTTGTTTTTCTCGAAGAAATGAACCCGAATATAACTTCTACAAGTTGAACACTGATTTTTTGAAATATCTCAAAAAGCTCAAAAAACAGTAAAAAAAAAGTTGCCAAATTCAACAAATTTTGGGAAATACGTGTCGACGAGCTGATCTGAAAAATATTACGTGTTGATGATTCTGGACCAAAATTTCCGAAAAATTCGGTTCGAAAATGAATTTTTTTAATCCTGGACCAAGATTTTCAAAAAAATTGTTTTGAAATACCTCAAAAATTGTCGTTTTTTATTTGATCTGAAAAGTCGTTGTTTTTTTCGAAGAAATAAAGCCAAATATAACTTCTACAAGTTGAAAACTGATTTTTTGAAGGATCTCAAAAGTTCAAATAACGGTCAAAAAAGTTGTCAAACTCAAAAAATTTTGGAAAATACGTCTCGACGAGCTGATCTGAAAAACATTACGTGTTGATGATTCTGGACAAAAATTTCCAAAAAAATAGGTGCGGAAATGAATTTCTTGAATATTGGATCAAGATTTTCAAAGAATTTGCTTTAAAATACTTAGAAAATTGTCGATTTACATTTAATCTAAAAAAGTCCTTGCTTTTCCTCGAAGAAATGAATCCGAATATAACTTCTGCAAGTTGAAAATAGATTTTTTGAAATTTATCAAAAAGTTCAAAAAACAGTCAAAAAATTTTGGAAAATACGTGTCGATGAGCTGATCTAAAAAACAATACGTGTTGATGATTCTGGACCAAAATTTCCGAAAAAATCGGTTCGAAAATGAAAGTTTTGAATACTGGACCAGGATTTTCAAAAAAATTGCTTTAAAATACCTCGAAAATTGTCGTTTTACATTTGACCCGGAAAAGTGGTTGTTTCTCTCGAAGAAATGAGGTAGAATATAACCTCTACAAGTTGAAAATTGATTTTTGAAGTATCTCAAAAAGCTCAAAAAACAGTCAAAAAAGTTGTTAAACTCAAAAAATTTTGGAAAATACGTGTCGACGAGCTGATCTGAAAAACATTACGTGTTGATGATTCTGGACCAAAATTTCCGAAAAAATCGGTTCGAAAATGAAATTTTTGAATACTGGACCAAGATTTTCAAAAAAATTGTTTTAAAATACCTCGAAAATTGTCATTTTTCATTTGATCTGGAAAAGTTGTTTTTCTCGAAGAAATGAAGTCGAATATAACTTCTACAAGTTGAAAATTGATTTTTTGAAGCTCAAATAACCGTCAAAAAAGTTGTCAAACTCAAAAATTTTTGGGAAATACATGTCGACGAGCTGATCTGAAAATATTACGTGTTGATGATTCTGGACCAAAATTTATGAAAAATTCGATTCGGAAATTACATTTTTGAATACTGGACAAAGATTAAAAAATAAATAATTAATTTTGAAATACCTCGAAAATTGTCGTTTTACATTTGATCTGGAAAAGTCGTTGTTTTTCTCGAAGAAATAAAGTCGAATATAACTCCTACAAGTTGAAAATTGATTTTTTGAAGTATCTCAAAAGCTCAAATAACAGTCAAAAAAGTTGTCAAACTCAAAAAATTTTGGAAAATACTTGTCGCTGAGCTGATCTGAAAAACATTACGTGTTGATGATTCTGGACCAAGATTTTCAAAAAATTTGTTTTAAAATATCTCGAAAATTGTCCTTTTTCATTTGATCTGGAAAAGTCGTTGTTTTTCTCGAAGAAATGAACCCGAATATAATGTCTACAAATCGAAAATTGATTTTTTGAAATTTCTCAAAAGTTCAAATAACAGTAAGAAAAGTTGTCAAACTCAAAAAATTTAGGGAAAAACGTGTCGATTAGCTGATCTGAAAAACATTACGTGTTGATGATTCGGGACCAAAATTTCCGAAAAAAATCGGTCCGAAAATGAATTTTTTGTATACTGGAACAAGATTTTCAAAAAATTTGTTATAAAATATCTAGCAAATTGTCGTTTTTCAGTTGATTTGGAAAAGTCGTTGTTTTTCTCGAAGAAACGAAGCCGAATATAATGTCTACAAGTTGAAAATTGATTTTTTGAATTTTCTCAAAAAGCTCAAAAAAGTAAAAAAAGTTGTCAAACAAAAAAAATTTTGGGAAAAACGTGTCGATTAGCTGATCTGAAAAATATTACGTGTTTATGATTCGGGACCAAAATTTTTGAAAAAATCGGTTCAAAAATGAATTTTTTTAATATTGGACCAAGATTTTCAAGAAATTTGTTGAAAAATACCTCGAAACTTGTCGTTTTACATTTGATCTGGAAAAGTCGTTGTTTTTCTCGAAGAAACGAATCCGAATATAACTTCTACAAGTTGAAAATTGATTTCTTGAAGTATCTCAAAAGCTTAAATAACAGTAAAAAGAGTCGTTAAACTCTCAAATAATTCTAGGAAATATATTTCAACAAGCTAATCTGAAAAACATTATGTGTTGATGATTCTGGACCAAATTTATAGAAAAATTCGGTTCCAAAAATGAATTTTTTGAATCCTGGTTCAAGATTTAAAAAAATTTTTTTTTTAAAATGAAAATTTTTAAAGACCTCGAAAAGTGTCATTTCATCTTGAAAAGTCATTGTTTTCTTGAGGAAATGAACTAGAATTAATTTCTACAAGTCGAAAATTGATTTTTTGAAATATCTTAAAGCTCAAAAAAGTAAAAACAGTCGTCAAACTCTGAAAAAATTGTGGGAAATACCTTTCGGCGAGCTGATCTGGAAAGGTCGTTGTTTTTCTCGAAGAAATGAAGCCAAATATAACTTCTACAAGTCGAAAATTGATTTTTTAAAGTATCTCAAAAGCTCAACAAATAGTCAAAAAAGTCGTCAAACACACAAATACATTTCGACGAGCTGATCTGAAAAACATTACGTGTTGATGATTCTGTAGCAACATTTCCCAAAAAATTCGGTTCGAAAATAAAATTTTTTGAATGCTAGACCACGATTTTTAAAAGATTTGTTTTAAAAATGAAATTTTTTAAAGACCTCGAAAATTGTTGTGTTTATCTGGAAAAGTCGATGTTTTTCTCTAAGGAATGAAGCCGAATATAACTTCTACAAGTCAAAAATTGATTTTTTGAAATCTCTCAAAAGCTCAAAAAGCAGTCAAAAATTCTTGGAAATACATTTCGACAAGCTGATCTGAAAAGCATAACGTGTTGATAATTCTGGACCAAATTTTTCGAAGAATTCAGTTCGAAAATGAATTTTTTAATCTTGGTCAAAGATTTTCAAAAAATTTGTTTTAAAAATGAAATTCTTAAATATCTCGAAAATTGTTGTTTTTCATTTTATGTAGACGTCATTAGCGTTGTTTTTCTCGAAGAAATGAAGCTGAATATAACTTCTACAAGTCGAAAATTGATTTTTAGAATATGTCAAAAGCTCAAAAAAAGTCGTCAAACACTCAAACAATTCGGGGAAATACATATCAAGGCTCTGATCTGAAAAACATTACGTGTTGATAGTTCTGGACCAAAATTTTTTGAAAAATTTGACTCGAAAATGGAATTTTTTCAATACCTCGAAAATTGGCGTTGTTCATTTTATCTGGAAAAGTCGTTGCTTTTCTCGAAGAAATGAAGTCTAACATAACTTCTAAAAGTCAAAAATTGATTTGTTCAATTATTTCAAAAGCTCAAAAAACAGTCAAAAAAGTCGTCAAACTCTCAAGAAATTCTGGCAAATACGTACATTACGATCGACGAGGTACTCTGTTGTAGTTCGAAAATGAAATTTTTTGCATACATACCTCGAAAATTTCCATTTTTTATTTTATCGATTCTGGAAAAATCGTTACTTTTCAAAAATACATGGTTGTTGTGATCAGGTTTTTTGTTCTCTGTGTATATGCGAAAAACCATTAATTTTGTCTATGAAACTCTATCCAATAAATCCAGTTTCTTAGGGTCAGTTTATAAAAAAATTTAACTGAGCTTAAGTTTATCATGCATTTAACGAGGCGTTTGGCGACGTCTGATTGGTGTAGAGTCGGTCACGTGGTACTTTCACGCCGTGTTAAAATTTAATCGCAATCAAATAGTTATTGAGCTTCTGTAAACCGGGTCCTAGAATTTTAGATAAATGATAAAATTTCTAGTGGTTTTTTTTTGCGATAAGTAAAACTGAAGCTAATTTCTTTCAAGTTGTCTCTTTTAGTTTTTTTATTTCAAAGTTTGTTGTTTGAATAAGATGTACGGATATCGTTTGCCGAAAACAAGGGTGCGTAAGGATCGATATTGCTTGCTTTCTCTAAAAAGTGGAATTTAGTTATTACAAATTATGCTAAGTGAACGCAGAAGTAATAAACAGTATTATTATCCGTGTTAATTAACATGTTCCATTATTATCATCAGTTACATTAAATTCAAGTCTTTTTAATTAAAAATTCTGATTTAGGATAACACAGCAATAAAGTTATTAATTCTTAATTAATACAAAATCAATGTTACCAATTACGTAGAAAAAAAACACGAAAAGTGTTTACTGCTTTATAAACAATGATTCTTTCGCACATTATTCAAATCCCAAAAAAAAATTCAAATTATTAATTATCCCAAAGAAAAAAAAAATCAGTGCCATTTCCTAACCACGCTTCAAACAATTTCGCCAGATGGCGCCACTAGTATTCCACGGAGCATCGAAATAGAGTCAAAACTCATCATTTGATTCTGCACCTTATCGACAGATCATTAATTATCAATAATAAAGCTATTTTTTTCAAATTTTTAAAACATTACGTCACCATCTGGTAGAAGTAATGAGTCAATGCATAATTTGGTAGTTTCCAATAATTTATGTGGAACACTCCTTATTTTGACCACGTTATATTAAAACATTTATAAAAAGCAAACAAAACACCTAAAAAAGAACTCACAAGAAACTAAAAACATCCTCTAACTTGGAAATCCCAACGCTGTTGAATTTTGAATACTAACGCATTATACAAATGAATTCTCAGAATGTTTATTCACTGGTGGGTGATAAATAAAAAGGTTACATAATGTACAGTCTGTTCGGAAAGTCTGGAATCAATTTGACAAAAAATGCGATTGTGCTCTTCTAGCACGTATTTTCCAGAAACGCACTGGGAAAATTTAAAACGCTGTGAGTGTAGTCAACTTTATTCAAAGAATAATTTAAACTGTTTCATAAATAATTAAACAGCTGTTTTTAACAAGAATGCAAAAAACACTCGGTTCCAGTAAGTATACTTGAAATACTAAATTTTCCAAGCCAAAAATAGAATTCATTATGCAGTCACACGAAGTGAAATCGCCTTTCTCAGAAAAAGCCTTATTATTGTCTATTTACTATTTGATATATTTTAGTATGCTGATTAATATAGCCATTTTATTTTGGGCGAATACGCGTCAGACACGTATTTTATTACAAAACAAACGAAAAAATTACGTCAACGAACGACTGAATATGTAACTAAACCCCTTTCCAAGACTCCTGACACAACCGATGACCTACACCTCATTCCGCATTTGCACACCAGACCCTCGTGGTGTTTCCATCAAAGCCCCAAACCCAGAACAAAACACCATCGCTTGGCATAATGCCACGTATATTTATCAACCACATAGAAGCAATTAATTCCGGCGAGACAATCCAGATTGAACGCATACCTCAAACAGTTGACCCGCCGTTGTGGAATTCGGATTGCACAGGACATCCAGTTTTTGTCCATTCAACATAATAACGATGACGTGCTTCTTGGCTTGCCCTTTGAAGTCGGGCATGCAAATCTGCTTACTGGGCAGCGACGCCCTCACCACGAACTCGGGTCCCACGCACTCCCTGGAGCTGTCAACCGGCAGAGTGACGTTCGCCCGGTACAGCCTCGACGCCGCCCTCTGCACCGGGTTCCTCCGCACCCGCAGGCGCCTGTGGCCGTCGTCGCCGTCGCCCGCACTTTTCGCAACGTTCGAACCCGAACCGTAGTGAAAGTCAAAGTAGCGCGTGTCGGGCACGCACATGGACTTGGGGCGCACGACGCTGCCGGGCGCGCTGGACACCCCGAAGGAGAGGTCCTCCATGCTGGTGCTGGCCTCCTTGGTCAGCTTGGGGATGGACTCGTAGGTCCGGGTCAGGTTGATCCAGCGCCTGGGGATGGTGCCGAGGCCCTCGGGGTTGGATTCGCTTCTGGAAAAGGTTCGATAGAACACGTGACTTTAGAAAAGTCTAGCTAAAACAATGTCCAAGTTATTATTAAAGCGTTTCACCAGAGTCTAACCTTATACTCGTCGGTTCTCGTCTGGAAAACGAATACTTTCCTCTGGGTTGATACCGCTTAATATTAAAACAGCAATCATCATTATTACTTCCTATACATTATTCATTCTGATGGAAATGCGAATTATACAAGGGAAACAATGAGATTCGCGACGGTTGTAATGACAAGACTCCACTTGATGACTCTCGTCTCGATATAACAATTTCCAACTTATTAATTCTAATTTACCTTAATTACCTAATAATGCTGCTACAATAACATACGAGGAGCTTAACGACGAAATCACAACAATATTGTGGAAGAATCTATTTTCAAGGAGGTGTTTCGGCTGCGATATTTATGCTGTTCTGTTGATTTAAATTGCTTAATTTGTTTTAAATTACTGTTATTTACCTGTTTCTGGTTCTGGGACGTAATTCGGGCATCGCGGGGGGTCCCCAAGGTGTATCTAAGGCCAATTCAACAGCTGCCATTGCCTCTTGATGTAAATCCATAACGATGTGGGAAAAGGGGCGGTTTTGTTGACGACGTTTACAGTAGTCGGAAATAACCTGTCAACACGTGATTGCCTTAATTTTGACAACATGGCGAAAATTGGGAAAGTCACAAAATTTTTTGTTGGTTTTATAGCTTCAGGCGATTCAATTTGAGCGTTCTAAGATCCCTAGTTGGTCTTGAAATTTATTTTTAAAATAATGATGTTGGCAACACTTTATGCAGTTTGACAAGTAAACTAACTGTCAAATCAAGTGTCAAATAGCTGCATCATTATTTTAAAAATAAATTTACAATGATGAAGTGTTTAAACTATACTCTCTTAAATTACTGATTGCGAAAACGTGCTATAAATACGATTGTAATAAAACGGATTTAAAAAACGGCCTAATCTGATTAATTTGTTTGTCCATTGCCGATGTCTTTTTTTGCGACATTTGTTTCATTTAATCATCGCAAATTGTTGTCCATTATCCAGTTTGCTATGGTCGTTTGAGATATCGGTCGAATCAATAAAGCTGTTAATTGAAAACCAATTGATGACGTCATAAATTTTTTACAGTGATATGATATAAAGACTTACTGTGATTTGTTAAGACACATTTTTATTATTTGGTGTTTTTATTCACTAGATGACAATTTATTAATTTTTTTATTATATTGTGTTCAACGGAGCTGCAATTTACCAAAATAGGGATGACGTCATAAATTTGATACGTCACTCAAAAATGTCGAAACTGTCGTCAAAATATCGTCGCCCGAGAACTTGTTTGATCCACAGACCGGAGCGCGCTCAGGCCAATGTTGACTCTAAGCGTCCAGAATTTCTGCGGGAAATAGTTTCACTCGATTTTGACATGCACCTATTTTTTTGTTTAACTAAGAATTAATGCTTTAATTGTGTTTGATACTAACAAAACGTCATAATTTTGGGAAAGTACAGTTATTTTTATGTTTTAGCAGCAATGTGTTCTATTTTCTATTCATGTTTGCATATTTTTAGTCACAATTTTGGTAGTTATTTTTTACTTTTACTTTTAGCAATAATAAATAATTCAAACATGATAAAAAAAAAAATAAAAATTGGAAAATTTAAAAGTTAAAAATCGAGAAACTGAAAAATCGAAACATCGAAAAATTGGAAAATCGAAAAGTAAAAAAAAGATGGAAAATCGAGAATTTTAAAAATGCCGAAAATTGAAAAATTAAAATATTGAAAAGTTGAAAAATTGAGAAATCGAAATATAAAACAGCCGAAAAATTGAGAAATCTAAAGTTTAAAAAACGAAAAACTGAAAATCTGTAAATTCAGAAGTCGAAAAATCGTAAGCTTAAAAAATCGAAAAATTTAAAAATCAAAAACCTGAGAAATCGAAACTTTGGGAAGAAATGGGAAAATAAAAAAAAGATTACTTCAGAAATCGGAAAACTGAAAATTTAGAAACGTCAAAATTTGAAAAATTCAAAAATTGAAAAATCAAAATCGTAAAATTGAAGAGGATAAAAATTGAGAAATTGTATTATTGAAACATCGGAAAATTGAAAAATCGAAAAATAAAAAAATGGAGAAACCGAAAATTTGAAGAATGGATAAATGGGAAATCTCCAAAATTGAAATACTGAAAAATTGAAACATCTAAAGTTGAAATGTTGAAAAATCGAGAAATCGAAAAGCCGAATAATCTCAATAATGTAATTAAAAGTCACAAGTTCAGGACTATGCTACTTTTTAACATTTAAATAACATTTAATCGACAAAATTATAAGATGGCAGCATCAACGGGTAAATTTCGACTAAAGATTTAACATGCTTCCAATAACTATAAATTGGAAAATGTTGATTTTTTCCAAAAATCTTGACATCTAAGGTATATCTCAACACGGATTCATAAACCATAAGGATAAAAAATTTACAATACATCTACTAGTGTAAAAGTTGGAGATTATGTCATTTCATTGTTCGAGATAAATTTTGGTGAGCGTTCTGCCATTTGATAATACAATTCGAAATGTAAAGTCCGACCAGATGGTCGAAACGGGTTAGTTCTTCGTAGTGGATGTGTATCAGAGCAGCTCTAACGAAAGTCGGCTTATAGATAAATCGCTTAGAGTCGATGTTGGCATGAGTGCGTTCTGGTCTGTAGATCAAACAAGTTCTCAGGCGACGATATAGTGACCTAAAAAATTATTCGAGTTATTCTTGAATAAATTATTAAATCTTGTTTTGCGATTTTATTTTTTACGATGACCTCTAAAAGTTAAAACAAAAATAGGTATGGATTGTTACTAGAGGTAACGAAGTATTGTTTAGGTGTGATTCACGTGAGTTTTTCATAATAAATTTTTATGATGATCAATTTTTTAACAAGGAGAAGAAAAATAAGAAAAGGGCGACAAATTACGTAAAAAAGCGCCACAGAAAAGAGAATAAAAAACACGACAACACAATTCTATGAAAAATATGAAAAAAATGGGCGACCAAAAAAAGCGATGAAAACGAATCAAAAAAAGCCAAAAATGCGATCATTAGAAGACTCCAAAAAGATTACAAAAATTCGAAAATAGCGGACAAAACATTTTATAAAAAGTAAGTAAAAGGCCGCTATAAAAGTCATGAAAAAGGAGGCCAAAAAACCGCGACAAAAAATACGACTAATGAAGGGAGTCAAAAAAGACGCCAACAAATTACAAAAAAAAAGATAAAAGAACACTACAAAAAAGTGACAAAAAGTTTGCAACAAAAGCTATAAAAGCAGAGGAGAAAAAATAGCAACAGAAGTCTACAAAATAATCAATTTTTTTTTGTAAACACAAAAAATCCACAAAAAATGCGAGAGGAGATGGAAAAAAATGCAAAAAAAGATTACAGCAAAAAGGGGGCCAAAAACGAAAAATGGTAAAATTTGATTTCGCGAATTTTATGAGTTTTTCCTACGCAAAATTTTGTGATGACGTCATTACCATTTTTGCAAAGGCACGTACAACAAATTGGATAGTAACAGTATTGTCTTCCAAAATTTTGGAAAAAATGGACTGAGCCGTTCCTGATTTAATCAATAATATAAACTGAATCATTCATTATTTTTCACCCTGTATAAGCAATTCTAAAAAATTTGAAAGCAATGATAAACCACAACCTCGTCCTATTTTGCACTTTTTGGATTGGTGACGTCATTAATTGGGGGTGGGTGGTGGTAAACATATATATTTCGATTAAAAACTTACCATAACTTTAAAATGTCTGCAAAATTTCAAAGGTTTTGCAGATCAAAATTATATTGCAAAATGTTATTAAATTTGGATTTTTTTTCCCAAAAATCTGGATATTTCCGATAGAAACTCAAAACGGATTCATAAACGACACATGTAGAACAACGTTATTTTATACAGTTTAACAGTGCCGGATTGTGCCGCGGGAATACACATATTACATTTCACATATACAGGATGTTAGTTACAAATGCAACAAATTTTCCTAAAAAATTAACACAAGCATAAAAAATACATACATAAATATTAAATGAAAGTATCTTTTTACTTCCCGAGCGTAAACTAAGAAATTATAGTAATCGAGTTCATCGGGGGACTTGCCAGTTTCATGTTTTCTCAAGTTTGATGACCCCAAGAGTACGAAAAAAGTGGTCTCCCGTGTCCGTATGTCTGTCGTCTGCTTGTCTGTCTGTGTCGATTTTTATTAAACAGATAGTCTCCGAAATTAATGGACCGATTGTTGTCAAATTTTGTATGAATACTAAAAATATGATCACCAACATGACGTCATCTCAAAGAATTCGAAAATAAAATGATTTAATAACTCCTACATTTGTGGTGTACGAATCCATTTTAAGTTTTTTCCCTAAATCGCCAAATTTTCTCAAATATCAAATTTTCGGATCTGTGGGTCTCACGTTCGAGTCAAATTTGACCGTATCTTTTTTTTAGCGCTGTGACTAGTATGTTGTATTTTTGGTTACGGAAAAATTCACTTAAAACATACGCTCAGCATACTCCTTTTTCGGCCCGTTTTGCTCCATTGTGCTTAATTAATAAAATTTGTCCTATCCTCTCTTTTGAGGAGACAAAACCAATCAAATTTAATTTCTTGTTAACGTAGATACGAAATTACGTGTAATGAGACACTGATAATGATAAAACAGGTTTTCCTGTTGGCTATTTGTTTGAAACATATTACAGTTTGACCTCACTTATGCGGACTGTGTCCCATTGTAATTTATTTAATCTGGAACGGCTCACTCCAATTTCCCGAAAATTTGGGAATACAATAAGTTACTAGTAATATATTGCACCTATCTAAAGTGATATACGTGTCATTGCAAAAATGTTGATGACGTCATCACAAGGTTGTGTAAAGGAAAAACTCATTTGAAACATATGCGTAGCACACTGCTTCACATTTTACTTTTAACATTGTATACATATCTTATTTCAACTTATAGCGATTTTCATAAAAAAAATTCGCAAAATCACATTTTGTAATTTTTCAAAAAACCTGGATATGATTTATTGTACTTCAGGGGCGGGGAAATTCTGTCCAATAACATTTCACCAAGGTTTTTAAGACGCCAATGTGTCTGGCAAAACTCAAAATAACAGTAATAATAATAATAATAAAACATTAGTATATAGTACCATAGGGTACCACTTTGTAAAGTTCCCAGTGGACATAATGCACATGTAAAATTTGACAACAATCGTTGCGGTAGCTTCGGAGATTATTAGTCTAACAAGAATAGACACAGACGCCGGACAGACAGACGGAAACGGGAGATGTGTTTTTTCGTAGTCCAGGGGACTCTATTACAATGTTTCCTTGGGAAGTAAAAAGTGGCCGATCAGATCTACACCGACGATAATAATCAATCAAGGCGGATTCATAAGCCACAAGTATAGGAGTATTGCTATTTTATAAAATTTAAACAGCAATTACAATGCCGAAAATATACATCTATAACAAATTAAAATTTCTAAAATCAGTTCTTTTATCTAAATCTAGAATCTAAAATAAACTTTTGCTCACTGAAGTTTGTTTACACGA